TTCTTAAAAAATCCAAGTAAATTTCACTGTTAAGCCTTTGTGGAAAGATTAAGTGATCTCCTACAATACCCGCCCACACATTAACCGAAAACTTGTTTTGAAATCTGCGTTCTATTATCCCGTGAAGATTTTCATCTAATCAGTAATGTTCATTATGAAGATTAATAGGGCCGTCATGTCTAAAGCCAGCTTCATCCTTAAATCAAAAAGAGATTATTGCACATATTTTCTCGAGATAAAGTATCTTCAGGAAGTAGAGCTTAAACTTTTTGGAAATGGTAAGAATGAAGCATTTTCGTTTTTAAAACTTCATGTACTGAGGTATTTGGAATATATTCTTGAGCAGCAATTAGCCTTACACTTATTTTAGGATTATTTTCAATTAAATTCAAAATACGAACTTCTGCTGCAGGAGTTCCGGTATTTCTTTGACGACCTACATCGTAAAGTTTAGATTTAAAAGATCCAAACTCATCAAGTTTTTGATGAAGAGTACTAAACAATCGCGACTGTGGTATTCTTCTATTCGGAACTGCTACAGTATACAAACGTCGTGCTGCTAATGCATTTCCGTCAGCGACTCCATAGTAATAATGCGTGTCACGTAATAATAAAATAATAAAACTTGTTAAAGAATTATCTGTCATAATCTATATATATAAAATTGTTTGTCCTGACTGACTGATTGACTGACTGGCCTATCAGCGTACAGCCAAAACTATTGAGCCTAGAAAGCTGAAATTTGGAACATAGGTTAATTTTATAACGTAAGCATCCGCTAAGAAAGGATTTTTGAAAATTTTAACTTTAAAGGGGGGAAATGGGAGGAAATGGGGGGAGAGAGCTTTTAATGAAACTCTTTGTTCTTTAAAGTTAGAAACATAAAAATTTAAATTACAGCTACTGAGCATAAATAAATAATGACGTATTTCAGAGTTTTTTGATTTTTTACATTTTAAGGGGGGAAAACGGGGGGTGAAACTTTCTAAGGGACTAACGATTTTTTTGTTCTCTATGAAGTTAGAAACATAAAAATTGGAATTCCAGCTACTAACTACAAATTATTAATGACGTGTTTCAGGATTTTTGGATTTTCAAATTTTAAGGGGGGAAATGGGGGGTGAAAATTTATTTGGGGGTATCCATGTTTTTGGTTCCCTTTAAAGTTAAAAACATGAAAATTGGAATTGCAGCTACTGAGTACAAATTAATAATAATATGTTTTAGGGTTTTTATATTTTTACATCTTAAGGGGGGCAAACGGGGGTAAAAGTTTGTATGGGAGTGTAACTTTTTTTGTTCTCTTTGAAGTTAGAAACATGAAAATTGGAATTGCAGCTAATGAGTACAAATTAATAATGACGTGTTTTAGGGTTTTTGGATTTTCACATTTTAAGAGGGGGAAACGGGGGGGTGAAAGTTTATTTGGAAATATCGATTTTTTAAAGGTAGGAACTTGAAAATTGGAATTGTAGGTTCTCATCATAAATAAATAATGAAGTGTTTCATGGTTTTTGGATTTTCACATTTTAAGGGAAAAAAAGGGGTGAAAATTAATTAAAATAAATAAAAAATTATTAAAAATTAATATAAATTAATTAATATTATTAAAAATTAATAAAAATTGTTAAATATTTTAACAAATTAACAAAAACAAATAAAAATTAAGAAAAAATATTAAAAATTAATAAAAATTAATAAAAATTAATAAAAATTAATAAAAATTAATAAAAATTAATAAAAATTAATAAAAATTAATAAAAATTAATAAAAATTAATAAAAATTAATAAAAATTAATAAAAATTAATAAAAATTAATAAAAATTAATAAAAATTAATAAAAATTAATAAAAATTAATAAAAATTAATAAAAATTAATAAAAATTAATAAAAATTAATAAAAATTAATAAAAATTAATAAAAATTAATAAAAATTAATAAAAATTAATAAAAATTAATAAAAATTAATAAAAATTAATAAAAATTAATAAAAATTAATAAAAATTAATAAAAATTAATAAAAATTAATAAAAATTAATAAAAATTAATAAAAATTAATAAAAATTAATAAAAATTAATAAAAATTAATAAAAATTAATAAAAATTAATAAAAATTAATAAAAATTAATAAAAATTAATAAAAATTAATAAAAATTAATAAAAATTAATAAAAATTAATAAAAATTAATAAAAATTAATAAAAATTAATAAAAATTAATAAAAATTAATAAAAATTAATAAAAATTAATAAAAATTAATAAAAATTAATAAAAATTAATAAAAATTAATAAAAATTAATAAAAATTAATTAAAATTAATAAAAATTAATAAAAATTAATAAAAATTAATAAAAATTAATAAAAATTAATAAAAATTAATAAAAATTAATAAAAATTAATAAAAATTAATAAAAATTAATAAAAATTAATAAAAATTAATAAAAATTAATAAAAATTAATAAAAATTAATAAAAATTAATAAAAATTAATAAAAATTAATAAAAATTAATAAAAATTAATAAAAATTAATAAAAATTAATAAAAATTAATAAAAATTAATAAAAATTAATAAAAATTAATAAAAATTAATAAAAATTAATAAAAATTAATAAAAATTAATAAAAATTAATAAAAATTAATAAAAATTAATAAAAATTAATAAAAATTAATAAAAATTAATAAAAATTAATAAAAATTAATAAAAATTAATAAAAATTAATAAAAATTAATAAAAATTAATAAAAATTAATAAAAATTAATAAAAATTAATAAAAATTAATAAAAATTAATAAAAATTAATAAAAATTAATAAAAATTAATAAAAATTAATAAAAATTAATAAAAATTAATAAAAATTAATAAAAATTAATAAAAATTAATAAAAATTAATAAAAATTAATAAATATAAAAAATGAAAAAAAATGAATGAAAATCAATAAAACTAATAAAAATTAATAAAAAAAAGAAGTCATATATTTTTTTATATTAATAACACGATTATATGCGATCAAAGTCGCGAGCAAAGCCGCGGGCAATAGCTAGTTTATTGTATAAATTATTTATTGCTTTAATAAAAATAAGCTTAAATTAATCGGAATTAATTCATTGCATGGAAATGTTAAACGGCGATTTTCTTAGAAATGATTCATTTTATCGTAGTAAAACAAGATAGCATGTTGTCTAGCTTTTTTAATGGTATTGACTTGTAAGTTTCCAAAATGTATAAACAATTTAAGCAAAAAAGTTTTAGAACATTTTCTTGAGGCCTGCTTAAAAATTTTGGAATTAAGGGATTTATGTCAAATTCGGCCCAAAACTACAAAACAATATTATTATTAAGTGTACTAAATTTGAAGTTCATCGGCAATCTAAAAAAGTTATTAAGAAAAAATCATAAAAACAGTTTGAGTTTTCAAAAAAATACTATATGCACTCTAGTATTACTTTTTCGAGTAGAATCAACCCTTAAATTTTTTGCTCATCAATTCCGGATACCCTGTATGCAGATTTCGCTCAGTCATAGGGTTGATGTGTACAAATGGTTCTGCTAAATTTGTATTACATTTCAACGTATCTAGTGGCTTGAGGCCTATTTCCTACTTTTCGTTTATGAACAAATTATTGGCTAAATAATATTTCTAGTACATTGTAAGGTCTCTTTGTAGTGTTCGTGTAATAAGGGAACACGACTGATCTTTTAAACTATCTCTACTACATAATTTCAAACTCTCAATTTTGCTTAACGCACTGTTGTCACTGAAAAACACTTTTTTTCTGCAAAGTGCCGAGCTTACAATGATTTGTCTTGCACTGATTTTTGACCACGAAAGGAACAAGCATGTCTTGCGAAAAATTTATTAAAAATCGAAATTGCATTGGTTGGCTTCCAAAATGATTCGTTAGATCGAAAATATTGAAAACAATTCGAAGAAAATATAATTTTTTAATTATTCTTAATTTATAGTTTGTTTTATTTATGCAGAGTTACCTTATAGATAATTGGAGTTTTAATAACTTCAAGTACTTATCTAAGTATGAAGTTGTTACAAAAGTTGACACACACACGCACAGCATAATTATTTTATTTTTTACTTGGGGGTAATTAAGTTGAATTTCTATAATAAAAAGTACATGAATGTCTGGTTTCAAGTTTCAAATTAGTAAATCTATATTTAATTAAACGTCGTCAAAAGAAATTAATATTCTCTTCGTCAAATACAATAACACTTAGATAATTTATGCACAGTGTGTACGAAATTATTAAAAATTTTATAGTTTTGAAGTAATTTCAAAAAACTAAAAAATATTTTGTATTGTTTTAATTTGATAAAATATATTCCAAATTGTTACATTGTTTAAACACTTTTTATATTACCCCTTAAATAACCTTTTAAACCACGTACCACATGTCATCAAATTTTTGAGCTATTAACATATGTCACTAAAGTTTTCGGAAAAAAGTCATGTACGATTTGTTTTATTTTAAAAGCAATTTATCTATGTGTTTTTGGAAAAACAAACGCAGGTATACGTTGTTGATTTATTTGACATTTCAGTTTTGTGTTTTGTTGACATCATGGCTTACAAATTGGAATTAAGACGAAGCATTTATAACTTAGTTGGCAAAATGCCGAAAAAAGAAATTGTAAATATTTTTCGAAATGAAAATATTTCAGTGTCAACAATTTATCAAGCAATTCGTGAGTGTGAAGAAGGAATACCGTGTTCTAATTTGCCAAAAAGTGGTCGACCACGGAAATTATCTACAGTTCAAGCCAATAGATTGGTTCAAGTCGCCAAAAACACCATTGGTCCATCCACACGAAAGTTGGGTCGTCGTTTTGGCATATGTCGAATGATAGTCGCGAATTCAAAAGACATGTCTTAAAATATTGAAAACAAAGAAAATGCCCCAAGTATACCGTTAATCAGTTAGAAAGAATTCCAAGATGTTGTCGATCTTTACGAACTCGTCACTTCGCCAATAATAAAATTATAATTATGAACGATGAGAAATACTTCACATTTGCTAACCCGGAAATTCCTGGCAATAGTGGATTTTATACAGATAATTTTAATGATTGTCCTGATAATGTGAAATTTGAAGCGAAGGCAAAGTTTGAGGATAAAATCATGGTGTGGTGTGCAATTTCAGAAGCAGGCGTTTCTAGACCGTATGTGGGTCGTGTTAGAGGTCAGGCGGTTGATGCTAATGTTTATACACAAAATTGTCTTCCAAAATTACTAAATTTTATTAATTTATATCATGCTAACGACGAAATAATGTTTTGGCCTGACCTAGCTTCATGTCACTATACCCATGCAACAAGACAGTGGTTAGAGGCAAACCACATACCATTTGTGCCCCGTGAAGACAACCCTCCTAACGTACTCCAGGCTAGACCGATCGAAAGTTTTTGGGCATTACTTACAAGAAAGATATACGACAATGGATGGGAAGCCCAAAATCAGGATCAATTGAGGAGAAGAATCTATCAGAAGGTACGCGAAGTAGACTTGGAAGCTTGCCAAGCGCTTATGAGGCAACTCAGAACGAAACTGCGCCGCATAAGAGAACACGGGCCACTATCTCTATTAATTATAAGTTTTAAAGCTTACATTATATTAAGTATTGTAGTAATAAATAGTTTTAATAAAACTTTCTTAAACCACAGTATTGTGCATTCAATTTTATTCCGAAAACTTTAGTGACATATGTTACCTTACATTAATATAAAACTAATATTTTTCCTAGTTTGGCAACATGTGATACACGAAAGTGCATTAGTTTAATATCGGATATATAATATGTTTTGTCTTAAGTAAGTTTTATTTTCCTAGTAAATAGATCATTAAAGAATGTTTAGACCTACGGCAGTGGCGGCTCGTCAGCTAGTCTAATGGGGGCTATTTTTGTAAAGCATCTACAATATATAAAATTTATCAAAACTTGGCAAACCACTTTAAGTGAACCAATAAGTGGTATTCTTCTAATTTAGCATAATTCGTATTTATCCTAACCTAAGTATTTGTGTTCTACCACTAAAACATTTGTCTGATTCGTTAAAACACATATTCACTTGTTTTTATTATATACTTGCCTTATAAATTGTCTTGAGTATGAACCTTTTGCTAAGTAAGTTTTAAATGGGGAGTGTAAGAATTAATAAGCCATTTTTCAGACAGCGAAAGATTTAAAAATAATTTTTTAAATATTTTCTACTGCTACACGGCTGCAGGCAGAGCGTTAATTTATATAACTTCATTATCGACGAAATCCATATCGCTTTCGGAAAATCCCCTCATTTAATTATGCTACATTAAAGATTGCCGTATATTTAGACAATTCTCGCATATAAAAAAATATCTGCGACCTAAGAGCGAAAGCTACGTCTCCAGATCTGATCGCCCGAATATACGAATTCAGGGCTTTAAGACTTTTTCCTTGCCAGCCAGTAACATTACTTAACGGAAAATATATTAGACGCCAGGGACAGCCTGCCAGATGACGATTGGAACAAATAAAACAAAAGAAGCTGTTTAAAAGTTACAAATAGATGTGGAATATAATTAAAAATAGTACGGGTAGATAACAATACATTTTCTCACTTTATAATTAAGATATGGATATTTCTGGGGGACAAATGTTTAGGTCATTTTTTTTTATTTGTCTACCTGTCAAATTGGTACATTTATGGAGGTTAAATTACTGAAAAGGGGATTCAGGAATTGAAATATCAGGTAGATTTGGATTGTCAGGAGAAATTTTTGAATTATCAGCAGGTAGATTAGATTAGATTACATTAGATTGGGAGTTGGACGTTATTTGTCCTTGTCCACCGCGACCTTTTCAGATCTATTGTGGGACCGTTTGTTTTAGAGTATGTCGTCTAGCCTGTTTTTTTTTTATTATACTTAGTAGCTTTGACAGTGGCTCCCGCATGTAGTTGCGTGTATTTGGCTTTTCTTTGCTCAGTGTTAGAAACCTCATTCCAGCCAGGCCTTCAAATTGGCACAGGATGTGGAATGATATTTTTTCTTCTTCTTCACAGAACCTGCACAATGTCCGGTAAGAAGACCTACTGTTATCCTAACGATTTGACGCTTTTGATCCAGTAGGTCCTCCGTGAACTTGGCTGATGGTTCCTTGATGAACTGTTTAGCCTGTCTCAGTCTTGGATAGTTATTCCACCATTCCTGAGACTCTTTTGGCATCCATTGTTTGATGGATGCCTTGCACAATGCTTTTGCATTTACACAAAAGGGTTCGGGGCCTGTCATGGCCTTGTCTGAGCCTTTTCGGGCTAATTCGTCGACCTTTTCGTTGCCCTGATATCCCTCATGACCTAGCACCCAGGCTGGGGTCACCTTGTTTTGACTACCCAGCTCTGCTAGGTCTTCTAGACAGTCTTTCACCAGTCGTGATTTAATTTCTGGTGAGAAAATTGCCTTTAGTACCTGGCTATCAGAGAATATGGCAATAGTTTTGGCTGATACTTGCTGGTTTAGTATTTCTCTTGCACAGTGTTGTATGGCTATTAGTTTAGCCTGGAACACTGTTGCATATTTTCCTAAACTCAGCGAAATCGTTGTTTTTGACTTGAGTCCATAGATTCCAGCACCGGCTCCTTCCTTGGTTTTTGAATCGTCTGTGTACCAGACGAGTTCTGCCTGTACTGGAGGTCCTTGTTTCCAGGATTTGAATTTGAATTTTTTTTTAAATTTGTATGTGGTTAAGGATCTATCAGTAGGCATAGCTAGAATATTACCCCTTTTTACTTGCTGATAGTCTTGTGTGGTCGGCGCTATGTAGTTGGCCTATTGGGTTTTGTCCTTGAATTAGCCTGTGAATAGCTGACCTGGTTTCTCCTTGTATGAAGATGTGCAGTTGGCGTAGTGAGCATGGTCCCAGTAGCACTTAGACAGGCGAGCCGCTGAATGCCAGTGAGTTAGCCTATTGCATTTTCCTGCGCAGTTTTGGTTACCCACGCCACTGCGCCATAGGTTATCATGGGTCTTATCACCCTTGTGTATAACCATATGGTCATTTTGGGGTTTAGACCCTAGTTTTTCCCACAGATTCTTCTACAGCTTACGAGAGCTGTTGTAACTTTGTGTGTGAGTTTTTTCAGATCTTGATTCCACGTCAGCCTTTGGTCAAATATGACTCCGAGGTATTTATTTGGCTTCTGCGACGAATGGCACAACTGTGTTCCTTTTTGCACCAGTTGTTCACTATGTTTAGAGCTGTTTGAGATCGCTCTGAGACTGTGCCAGCAAATCACTCCCTGACGATAATAGCTAGGTAGGTCGTCTGCGTATCCTAGGCACTGGTAGCTTTCTTTTGACAATTTTGAGGAAGTCTTTCACAAGAACTGACTACAGCATTGGAGATAATATTTCTCCTTGTGGGCAGCCCCGTGTAACTTTTGCCTGTATGGTTGCCTTTCCTAAAGTACATAAAATAATCCTGTTCTCTAAGACAGGCAGTAATCCATTGGCATATTGTAACTGGGACATTTCTCTGTTCTAGAACCTTGGTTAGCAGGTAAACGAGTAAATAAAGTAAAACATTAAAAGCAGATTGCTAAAAACGATTGTTAAATAAAATAAAGTTTAAAAAAGCAAATGGACGAGTATAATTTAAGAAGGGATGAAAAGAAGATAAAAAATATAAAAAGAATTATTTCCAGAAAGGAGTAGAGGAAGCAGAGGTGTGGCACTAGGAATCAAATATGGAATAGTGAGGAAATAGTTGAGAAAAGTTTAAAGTACAATAGCAAAAAGGTGTAGGTATAAATCATAAAACTATTGTGATAAATATCTTCACGTGGTAGGCCATGATTATTTTAGACATTTATACATGGTGGCCAAGATATGTAAACATTAATTGCTTGTACCGCATTCTATTTTTAGATGGATGCGGTATTGCCAAATTAAAAAAAATATTAGTTTTTTATTTATTTATTATTTCTAAAAATGACATATGGAACATCGTTTAAAAGGGCAGTAAATTAGTAAATATTGTGTTAAAATCCAATATGGCCTCCATAAGAAATAACAAACTTGCAATAGGTAACTCGAAAACAAAAGATTAATTAATTAATTAATTTTTTTCTACAAGAAATTCTCCATTAAAAAGTTTATTAAGAATGTAACACTTTAGATTATATCAAATCAATGGTAAGGTGATCATTAAAAAAATGCAAATAATGAAATTGCCTAATTCTTCATTTTTGAAATAACTGAGAAATCACATTATTTTTAATAACAAATTCTCTAAAACATTCCCTATTTAAATGTCCTTTTATATCGTGCATTATAAAAAATACCAATATAAAGACTCCACTTTTGAATACACTGTATAATTATTTCATGGAATAGTCATCCATAATGACAATTGATTTTGTACTATTTAGGCATCATCAAGACGAAAAATGAAGTTTTATCAAAAAACTAAAAAGTTTAATCTTCAAAAGGCTCTTGATTGTAATCATTTTTCAGGTATTCGTTCTTGAGAAATTATTTCATTGCCAATCTTGTGTTGAAGCTTCATTTTAAGCTCAGTGATGACCCTCCTAGGTTGAAACTGGATTTCTATTCGTTTTAAAAGCTATAAACATATTTTTCAAAGATAATTGGTTTTCATTTTCTTTATACAGTGTGATTCTGAAAATATTGAATTTCTTTAAGATATCGAAATTATTTGGCTATTAATTATAATTAATTATAATTTAAACGGCATAATATGTAAAAGGGAAAATAAGAAAAAATTTACTTACGTTTATTGCTTGGAGTAACAAAAGCATGAGCACACTAGAAAAGTGCAACGAAATTTTATTTACATTCCTTTAATCCCATTATTTTTTTGAAGACTCTGCATACAAAATAGGAATTTTAATTTATTTTTTGAGCAGTACTGGTCGTAAAAAAAGTATCTCTCCGTCGAATTGTTTTCTTCCGAACGGCATTCTAACGAAAATTTTTGCAGAACCAACCCTAAATGAAATTTTTCTTGAATTTTAAACGCAAAATTGATAAGTTGTACGACGAATGAATAAACTCTTCCTCTATCGAATTCTTCAACTTCAAATTCTTTGATTTTGCTTGCCCGTAAAATGTAGCTACAGGCCTGCCTAGTAGATGAACTGAAAAACTTGCATCAGAGAAACCGCTTACTTTGTTGAATTTCAATTATTACATAATATATCCAAAAATTATACTGACCAACCACAATGCAACACTTTCGCCATTCAAAATTTTACATGCAACACACCAAATATACAGGATGGAACCAAGCAAATATATTTAAAATAGAAACTTTGCAGGTTGTATCCAAATCACAAAGAACGCCGGCCATATCTAAGAAGCCGTTTATCCTACAAATTGAGAATTTGTTACCAACTGGAAATTACTTTTAAGCTCCTAAATTCACCGCTAGGGGCCGTAATGCTCATAGCCAATGATAAAGCTGGTTTGTTCATAATAAAATCCAATCAAGTTATGTCAAAAATATGAAAATCGTAATATGTGTGAAATTTTACTTAATTGTGACGACCCACTCAATCATATATATCATTGGTCTTAAGCTTTACGTTATCTCGTGGCGATTTCTCTAGACCAGTCTTATATTTGTTTTGTTTTTTCAAACATCACCGGATGTATCGGAAATGTCTTTTATTTAAATGGGTTCCCTGTATTTTTCTGAA